AAGTTAAGACAATGAAAACCAGAATGTCAGTTGTAACAGTAATACAGACACCAAATTACTCTGTGATCTGCCTTCAAGAAATTTTAATACTCTAATTCAGTGTTCCGCAACCTTTTTCTACTTGCGGCACACCCATGACTCAACACGGCACACCAAAATGTTATTCCCCTCAAAACCGTGTGATATGATACTATTAATAGAATTACGTAATGCCACTAACCTATTATTATTGTTATTAAGCAGACATCAACACCAGTGAGCAATTTTTTTTTTTTACATATAATTTCTTAGAATACATAAAAATGCATGGCTTGTAATAAAGAATAAACAAATATCATCTTATTTCATCAGTGCTGCGGCAGAGAATGAAATACAAGCATAAGAAACACAACAACTGTGATAAAAATATATAAATAAAATTTGAAATTAACAGAATATGTAAAAGTTCACGTCACACCTTTCACCATGTGACGGCACATCAGTGTGCTGCGGCACACCGGTTGAGGAACACTGCTCTAATTAACTGTTAACTTCTATCTTTGTAATTACCCAACAATGTTAATCAACTTATTCTCGAATATTTAATACTAGTGAGTAACTACTCCCTACAAGGCAAATTGGCCACAATGTGTTACATTATTCTCACTGTTTTCAACAAATTACATTCATTGCTTGTTTGCAGAAACCAAAAAAACCAAATTCCTGAAAAGTCATTCAGTTCTCAAAAGTTTTTGATTCTTAAAAGTATTCTGCTCCTATCCTTGCTTAATTCCAACAAAAAACTTGTAACTCCTTGTCATGTGATCTTCATTTTTCTGAAAAGGTTCAAAATCGTTCTTAAAGTACAGTAATACCCCGAACTTACGCGATAGGTGGGACCGAGCAGTAATCGCGTAAGTTGAATTCGCGTAAGTCGGGGTATAATTTTGCATATATATGCATACAAATAATTTTTAATTGAGGCCAGAGACTAAAGAAAACAATAATTTAGAAAAAAATGTTTAATAAAATCTTAGATAATACATATGTATAACAAATTACGCCTATATTATTTTACAATTTTTCACATTTACTTGATTATTACGCCATCATTTTAACATTGTTTCCATCTCAGCGATAATACTGTGACGTTTACGAATGATGCTTGAATTTAAAGATTGAGCATTTTTCACAGCTTCGAGAATTTTTTCTTTGCCTTTTATAATTGTTCTGACCGACAATTCCGGTAGATCAAACTTCTTTGCCAATTCACAAATTTTCATTTTTGTATCGAAGTCTTTAATAATGGGTACGTTCATAAAGTCAAACGAGTTAAACGCGTTAGTAACAAATCATTCGAAAAGTCTAACGAAATAAGAATAACGATGACGTCATTCTGGCTTAACTCGTTCCACTTTACGAACATACCCGATGTTAACTTTACATTCTAAAGATAAAGTTTTTCTTTTCTTGTTTGATGCAGAAGTATTAGTTCTACTTCGTTTGGATGGCATAGTAGAGTCTCTTAAATCTCCGTAGATATAACAAACACAGAAATAAATACCACAAAATAAATTGTAGCTATGCGTCGATTCCGTGCGACACATCCGAACATGTAAGCTGAACAATAGTGTGGGAGAGTGAGTAATCAAGGGTTGCATGGCGCTCAAACAAAAGATGAATCGACGAGATTTGAAAATCGCATAACTCCGTGTTCACGTAAGTCGGGGTTTGCGTAAGTCGGGGTAGCGTAAGTCAGGGTATTACTGTATAGTTTGATCTTGCTGTGGTGATAGTTATACCTGGAAGCAATTTTAATTAATTTGCCTACAAGTGGAATCTTAATTTTCCAAATTATTTAAGTTATATTCTTCATGCATAAAATGTCTCTTTTCATATAAAACATGTTTCTGGCTTATAGTAAAATTAAGCAGAGAAAATTGCTCCATTTTGAAAAATTCTTCTGTTTAGTTAGGTTTCCATTTTAATCACATTCCATATCAGAAAAATTTTATTGTATTATTTTTCTAATAATTCTTGATTTTATAAGATTAAAATCAATACTTAATTAAAAATAATACTCTAATNGTGACGTTTACGAATGATGCTTGAATTTAAAGATTGAGCATTTTTCACAGCTTCGAGAATTTTTTCTTTGCCTTTTATAATTGTTCTGACCGACAATTCCGGTAGATCAAACTTCTTTGCCAATTCACAAATTTTCATTTTTGTATCGAAGTCTTTAATAATGGGTACGTTCATAAAGTCAAACGAGTTAAACGCGTTAGTAACAAATCATTCGAAAAGTCTAACGAAATAAGAATAACGATGACGTCATTCTGGCTTAACTCGTTCCACTTTACGAACATACCCGATGTTAACTTTACATTCTAAAGATAAAGTTTTTCTTTTCTTGTTTGATGCAGAAGTATTAGTTCTACTTCGTTTGGATGGCATAGTAGAGTCTCTTAAATCTCCGTAGATATAACAAACACAGAAATAAATACCACAAAATAAATTGTAGCTATGCGTCGATTCCGTGCGACACATCCGAACATGTAAGCTGAACAATAGTGTGGGAGAGTGAGTAATCAAGGGTTGCATGGCGCTCAAACAAAAGATGAATCGACGAGATTTGAAAATCGCATAACTCCGTGTTCACGTAAGTCGGGGTTTGCGTAAGTCGGGGTAGCGTAAGTCAGGGTATTACTGTATAGTTTGATCTTGCTGTGGTGATAGTTATACCTGGAAGCAATTTTAATTAATTTGCCTACAAGTGGAATCTTAATTTTCCAAATTATTTAAGTTATATTCTTCATGCATAAAATGTCTCTTTTCATATAAAACATGTTTCTGGCTTATAGTAAAATTAAGCAGAGAAAATTGCTCCATTTTGAAAAATTCTTCTGTTTAGTTAGGTTTCCATTTTAATCACATTCCATATCAGAAAAATTTTATTGTATTATTTTTCTAATAATTCTTGATTTTATAAGATTAAAATCAATACTTAATTAAAAATAATACTCTAATACTTTTTCAACTCTCTTTTCATTCAAGATATACATTTTTATATTTCTTATCACTTTACTAAAATAATCAAAATGTTTTGAATCTCAAAAAAGCTGAATATTTAAAAACAATATTTAGTTATTTATACTAAAGTTAATTTTATATTCTAAGATTTATCAAAAATTTACTTTTGTAAGAAAATTTTGTCTTTTAAATTATATTTATTCTGGCCAACTAATAAAATATCCATTCATAAAGTTAATAATTAAAAATTGTAATTTAGAATAATATTAATAAATTAATAATAAACATCTTAAACACAGATACAGTAGACCACCCTATAACGCAGGTTCATATAATGCGGATTCATATATCATGGCGAAAAAATTGCGACCGTATTTGTATAAAGATGCTAACAGAGACTCGTAAAATGCGGTAAAATGTCGTCGCTGACTCGTGTCGCGACAGGATTGGTCGAATCTGGACCAATAGTGGAGCAGCCGAACTACTTACATGCTACGGAGAGTTTAGGTGGGTAAGTTGAGTTTACTATTGTCTGTATAGGCCTAAATTAGGTACTGTAAGTCTAATACAGTACTGTAATTTTATACATTTCTTGTGAAAAAAATATTTCTTATTCAACGGCCATAAAAATTATTTCTATTAATGATGTCTCCAAAGTTCAACGAATTTTTCACAGAAAAATAACTTATCAGAAAATGCGCCTGCCGTTTGGTGTGCTGCTCCGCAATGAAAACAAGCTTAAGTAATGGCGTTGTCTAACGGTGCACACTCAGTAAGTAATCCTACAATTTTTTGTTTATAGCATAGTTTATACGGATTATTCCCAAAAAATTATACATGTTTTGGAAATGTTGAGTCAAATTAGTCTAGAATTGATTAATTTTATGGAAGAAAACCTTTCAAACAGTAAACTGCACATGTGCCGAGCTGTGATTGGCTCATGTATTTAAGGATTCCTACAATGCGAAATTCTTATAAAGCAGAATGTATCTACCGCATTATAGGGAGTCGACTGTAGTTGGCACTTAAATTAATTAACCAATTGGACATTGTTGTATTCTGTGAGATTTAAATTTTGACTTCTTATTTTTTTTTTAGATGATTGATAAGACACCTTTATAAAAACACCATATTTATTTTAAAAAAATTTCATTGTTAAATATGAAATTTTTTAATATTGTGTCTCCTGTCCACTGTGTCAATAGTCTCAGTTAGGAAGTGGCAGAATATAATGATATATTAGTCATATTAAACATTACAACTTCACTTGATAAAAATTTGTAAGTCATCAAGAATATAAAACCATTATTATTATATTTTTGTTTTATTGTTTTTTATAAATTTCAAAAATTTATCAAATAACAATATTTAAATTATAAATTAACAAATTTAGATTAAAAAGTCTAACTAAATTATTACTTTATGATTTAAATATTGCTATTTGATATTCCATTTTTTGAATATTTGTGTCTACAAGATGATGCTTGTCTTAAAATAAGACAAAAATATTCCTTTCATACTAATAAATTTTGGCTTCCAGAAAAAGCAACTTTATTTCTAATAATTAACCATTTTAATGAGTTATACCTTTACAATGTCTTGGAAATCTGAAGTTTTACAGAAAAAAGTCATTTACTGTTAATATTGATAATCAAGTTTACAATTGGTCAAATATTTTAAAAATTTTATAAATAATGTCATCAAATGTTTGAAACATTCCAATTTGGAATTTAGTAGTTTGAAGCCTGAGGCAGGTTCATACAATAAAGTGAAAATGTTTATATATTCATTTAGTAAATCCATTTGCTGGAAAAGTGTTAATGATTTTGATTTTACAAGTTGTGTTCCAGCTTTGATTTTGAATTTTAGGTCTTATATTTTAAACAAAAATTTATTTAATGAACTTTTTTTAATTATTAAGAATTTAATAGAACTTCAAAAGTATCTCTCTTAATATAATTTTAAAAGAATTTTTAAAATTATTTTACCTTGTTCTTTGCATTAGCAAGTTTGATTCTTAATGATGCCAGACCAGTTTCTCTAAATTTTGTTCTTGCTATTAGATTTTCTACAGAATGTTTTCTTAAATGTTCCAACAAATAAATCACATCATCTTTTGAATATTGCAATTCTGTGCAATATCTTTCAACTAATTCCTAAAAAATAAATTGGAATAATAATAATTCATTTTTAAATTTAAATATAAAAATTATATTAGCAATAATAATGTCATAAATATTAATGTTAGCATATATATTTAAAGCTACTAAAGTTATAGTCCTGACTTGTTTATAATGTAATCTATAAAATGTTTAGAAATTTTTAAGATTTAAATTATGTAAACAGATAATTGAATTTTTAAATTTCACATTTCATTCTGATATGGTGATATCATTTATAGATTAGTTGATAAGTTTAAGTGGTTAAGTGTTTATATTTATTCTTCTATTTGTCCTACTTTTTCAGGACAAAACAGAATTAAACTGATCATTGTTATAATGTCATATTATCTTTTAAACCAAAATATCTATGAACTTGTAAATTAAAATTAAATTACATGCATATATATATATGCATGTAATTATATATATAGTAACCCCCATATAACACGGTAGTTACATTCCAAAAAATTGCCGTGTTATGCGAATCTGTGTTATACGAAACAAAGAACTAGTACGAAAAGGAGGGTTAGGTTCCAAATATTAGGTCAGTCCATAAGTTCCTGCGTATTTTATGACCTTGTTTTGCTGTTAAAAATGCCAGTCTAATGTGATACTTTTTACACTTAAGTGTTAAATTGGATCTCATTCATATAATACTGTTCAGAATTGGGAACATTTCAGTTGTTTATTTTCGTTAAAATGGAAGTAACAGATGAATATAAGAGACATGTTTTATACTTTTTATTTTTAAGTGGTGAGAATGCTACAAATGCAGCCAAAAAATTAAATACTGCTTATAATCAAACTGTAACAAGTGTAAGGACTGCGCAGAAGTGGTTTGAAAGATTTAGAAATAATGATTTTAGTGTG